TGGCTCGGGCATCTGGTCAGGATTCCTCTGGGACGCCACTCTGCTGAGATTTTCCGGACATGTCCAACTGGGAGAAGGCCTAAAGGGTGACTAAGGCTGGAGGGACTGTCTCTCGGCTGTCCAGGGAACACCTTGGGATTCCTCCAGAGGAGCTGGCCCAAATGGCTGGGGAGAAGGAAGTCTGGGCCTCTTGACTTATGCTGCTGCCACCGCGACCCGACTCCTGATAAGCAGAAGAGAATGGATGCTTGGGTGGTTGGATGGTTGAATTATCATGCAAGTGAAAATTTTTACTACTAGTACTTCTACTACTTTTTGCTACACTACATATAACATACACAAATAAAAAGACACCCTCGAGTTGACGGTAGCATAAACTAGGTCTTTTGGGTGCATCAGGAGTATGGTACAATGCTTCATTAGCCTATTGGCCAACCGAAACAGACTCTTCGGTACTGGAGCCTTGGCTAGATGCCTGCTTATGTGTCCCATCCTGTTCTTTCCCAGAATGCCCAGTGGGAGACACTGGGGACGAGCTTTGAATTTCCAGGTTTGTGATCAGGTGTGTGACTGGGTGCATATGTGTAGTTGGAGCTGTAGCAGAGGCCAAATAAAAATCAATCCCAGACAACATGAGCCTTGTTTTTCCCTCCAGGGAGAAAACTGATGCCTCAAAACAAAGGAGGTAATAAACTGAATGTCAATATTACAAAGAGATTTTGTTGTGATTGAATTTAAGCTGTACTGAGCGAGGCGCTGTAGTCCGTGGATGCGTGGGTATGTGGTAATTAATGTGTGAATATGCACTACCTGTGTGTTAATGTGGGGGTATATTTGGGTTGCTGTGGGTGCGTGCGTGTGTGTGTGTGTGCGCGCGCGCGTGTGTGTGTGTGTGTGTGTGTGTGGGGGGGGGGGGGGGGTTGCCAGGCCATATGGAGCTCTGCCTGGGGAGCACACTACCCACTTAGCTCTGCTGTTGGCTCTGGTGCTCTCTCCATCTGTCCCCTCCTATTGCCTCCTTTTACTTTCATTAGTTAGAGCTTGGTTTAAAAGCTGTCTGTGTGTGTGTGTGTGTCTGTGTATGTGTGTGTGTGTGTGTGTGTGTGTGTGTGTGTGTGTGTGTGTGTGTGTGTGTATGTGTGTGTGTCTGTGTATGTGTGTGTGTGTGTGTGTGTGTGTGTGTGTGTGTGTGTGTGTGTGTGTGTGTGTGTATTTGGGGTGGTGGTGGGGGATGGGGTATTTTTTGAAGAAGTAGCTCATATCTGAACATCCTACCATAAAACAAACCTGGTTACATAATGCAGAATTCTGTTATTTTTTTAATAGGCCACATTGACCCCGATAAGGGTGGTACTCCAGTACTGGACTCCACGTAGTTCATTTTTCTACTAGATTCAGTTGAACTTGTTATTGGATGTTATGATGATCCGTGATCATGTTTGAGGAGTGGGCAGGGCTTTCAGCTCCACGACCAGGGCTCAGTCCCAGGCATAAACCAGATCTCGTGGCTCCACTGCTCTCCAGCGGGCGAGGGCACGGAGCTCTGGTCCAGTAAGATTCATGCTGTTGGTCGACGGGCTCCAGTGAGTAGAGAACACAGTTCATGCTCATATGTCCAAACTAGATTCTTATGTAAAATATCTTTTTCCTCAATCGTCCATTTCTTTATGATCAAATCAAGTCAGATGTTTTTTTTCCAGTCATTTTCAAGTACTTTTAAATAAATCTGATGTTTTATCTTTTTAATTTATGAAGCTTTTACCTTTTGCTATTTAATGTCAGAAAACCATGTTGACATGTTTGTGATGGACGTTACAGTTGAGCACCTCACATATACAGCAGCAGACATGGAGCAGACTGAGGAACATTTTGTGGAAGAAGTCAGGTGACAGTTACATTTATACAACATTCACTGAAGGCGTACAAAGATGCACAGTAAACATCTTATTCATGGAAGGAAATGATGAGAAAATGGGTCTGGTGGTGGTGACTGCATGAACAGGTGGAGAAGAATGAGGGACAGATATGTAAAAAGTCTCTGAAATACATAAACACAATATAAATCCACTATCGGTGACTAAAGACCTGTCTGCTAACAGAAAATAGATATGCCCTCTGTTGTCCTGACGGGGAACTTTGCAACATTCCACAAACAACGGAGAAGTCTGAAAGGAAAACATCTCCATCTATGTGACTCCACACCCGAGCCTCTGGAGAAGTATGAACTTACCTTAAAGCTGAGTTATGTAATATTTTTATTAAAATGAAGCTGTTCTTTAAATTTATATTCAAATTTTTTATCTCATGACCACACAGTTGCATGTAAGGTAGCAATTACAAATGGTTCGGGTCAGTACCACCTTGTCAGAGAGCATGCTGTGGTGTATGCGCATTCTTCTTCAGTTAGTCGGTAGAGCTATTGGCTGTGTAATGTCCAGAAATGGTCGATTTTCATGTACAGTTTGACCCCTTCAGCATCTGATCGACATGGAGACAGGAGACCGCATGTGTTGCCTTTAATCTGCCGGGTTCTGCTTTTCCATCAGCTGGGGCCTCTTTGCAGCTCGGAACACATGATAATAAAGTGTCAACAAACTGTTTCCTTTTCAAGGCCCTTCTGTGCCAAGCCTGCCTCGTTATCTAGGCCGGACTGGACTATTATGAGTGGCTGTTTTCAGCTTATATAAGTTAATCATTCGTGGAATAATAATAATAATGTTTTGATTAATCTGTGCTTAAATCAATAAGGTTGATTCATCTGTGCTTGAATTACTGAAATGAATTATTACATTGAATGTTTTACATTTATATGGTAATCAGTAGTGTTTGATATGACGAGGCAATCGCCTCCCGCACTCAGACACAAGGACCAAATGAAAGTTAAGTTAAACTCATGACACATAGATATTCCTTTACACCAGATCAGAGCATCCGGTATCTCAAGAAGGCATGTTTTCTGACGTTGTCTTGGTAATATCCCTTAACTCGTTCACTGCCAGCCGTTTTCTGATCGCTAACGGCCTTCGCTGCCAGCGTTTCTCACCGTTTTTACTGTTTTTTTAAGAGTCACAGAACATTGCGCGCTAGCATGATGTCGATGCCAAAACAACCAAAACAGAGGAGACTCACCTCTTACATCAGGAAGAAGCCGTGTGTTTCGAGCGTTATCCGTTCTTTCATAATCCGTTGTCGAATTGTGATCGGCAGACGCTTTTCCGGTTCGCGCCTCACTTTTTTTACAGGAACGGCCCAAAACGATCTCCAAACACATGGATGGTCTGCTTCCTGATCATGTGATCTGTGACGTATGCGGATGAAGATCGGCTTCAGGGCTGAGATGTTTGTTCTCTCAGCGCGGGGGCTCGTTCCAATGCTCAAACAGTAAAAAAAAAATGCAAATGACGACTTTAGTCGTCATTGGCAGTGAACGGTTGGATCTAAAATGACGACTTTAGTCATCAATGGCAGTGAATGAGTTAACATGGCATGCTCCGAATGGCCAAGTAAATAATAATATGAGAATATTAAAACAGAATCACTGACGGTGATTCAGCAGTCGGAGTCGCATTCCAGCTTTCCATCACTCAGCATCCAGATCTAGAGAAAGAGCTCCGGAACGGCCATCCAGAGCAACACCTCTTTTTAACCTTGAGCAACTTTGGCAAGCTGCCCAAACCTTGCTAAAAGCTGCCTACCGCTGACACAGCAAATGGTTCCTGCAGAACAAAGCTTATATTGTTCCGACTCCTTAAGAGTCCGTATAGACGACATGGTTCCATCTATCTGTTGTGACCCGGAAAGCATCTCTGGACTGATGGGTCGGTGCTACGGCATTCTACAACCTCAGTTCCAGAGGTCATCCGGCCTCTCTGACCTTCTGATCCACGAAGAGGGTCTTCCAAAGGGTGAGGTAGACACGCAGATAGCATCTGATGCCTTTTTGATAAGAATCAACCTCACAGCTTAACGCAAACCAAAGTCTTTCCCTTTTACACCCAGAACTCAGCTCTTCTCGATACCAAAGTTCTGAAAACATCATATTCACACATAGGCACCATACATCACATCTCCTTCACCTTGATCTATCCATCACAGTAAATATTAGCTAACTTGTCATGTTTTAATTGTTTGGAAAATAAATTCTTACTTTTATAAACCTGACTCTTTCCTGAATCAAGACGAAGTGTTTACAATCCCTGAATAAAAAAAGAATCCTACAATCTTCTGATCATAATAAGCCTTCCTGCCCTCAGCTGATTTCTCCAGATTTGTCTGTGCAAAAGAAAACGCTGCAGGCAGATGGTTCTTCAGGTCCTGCAAATACGGCTCGCTAGTGTAAGCCGGAGCGGCACTGGGCTGAGCTGACCGATACAGCAGGTGAAGTGGCAGGGTCATTATCATTTCTTTAGTACACGCCATTGCAGGGTCAATTCTAACCCTTTAGGCGCCATAGTTTTTTCAGTAAAATATGAATTTTTTATATCACTATTTAAAGAGCTTGTAGCTTAAATCTGGTTAGAGATAGAGGAATATTGTAAATTAGAAAAATTTTCAGTATGACCCAAATTTTGTGATAGGAACAAATTCACTCACATAATTTGCATATTATGACGTTATCAGATGGCAGCCATGTTGGATTCTATCACATTTGCAGATTTTTTTTGTTTTTTATGTTTTTGTCTTATTTCCTTAGTGTTGTTATTGCTTATGATACATATATGCATATTCCTATGTAGACATATATAATTATGTATGTATATATATATATATATATATATATATATATATATATATATATATATATATATATATATAATATTTATTACTTTATTGGTATTTTGTTATGTTTACTGCACATCAATCAAGAACACTGTTTTTGGTGCTTCAGTGTCATGAACACATTTCACTCATCCCTTCTTTATTTTATTTTTTTTATAATTGGGGGGGGGGGGGGGGGGGGGGGGTGATGGGCCGGTGAAAACTCCGCTGGGTTTCGATTCAGCCCCGGGGTTGTAAACCGCCGGAATTGCAGCAGGATGGGGAGGACCCGCGTGATAAAAATCACTGCTATCAGGGGGTGTTCCAACACAGCCTCGGTGACAATAAAAATGATGATGGCTGGGTTAGTTTGGGAGAAGATGAACAGTATTCCAAGTGAATCAGGCATTTTGATGAGCCAGTTGGATACTGTGGAGACAGGGATCTGTCAAATTCAGAACACATTGATTTTCTGTCAGTTTTTTTGGATGAGGAATTCTGGACCCTCATCACAACTGAAACTAACTGATATGCCCACCAGTATTTAGAGAGGGAGGAACTGAAATCTAGCTCCAGATATAATGACTGGTATGATGTAACTGTCCCAGAAATGAAAGCGTTCATTGCCATTCAGTTCTGCATGGGGCTTGTGGGAAAGCCTGAGATTGAGTTGGCTCTTTTCTGGTAGAGAACCAAGGTCTCAGATTTGGAGGTGCTGATCCTAATCCCAGCCGCTTCACACTGGGCTGCGAACCTACCCAGCAAGAGCTGAAGGTCAGAGCTGGATGAAGCTAGGAGGACCACATCATCCGCAAAAAGCAGAGACGAGATTCTCCTGCCACCAAACTCGACACACTCTACACCACGGCTGCGCCTAGAAATTCTGTCCATAAAGGTAATGAACAGAACAGGTGACAAAGGGCAGCCCTGGCGGACTCCAACCCTCACCGGGAACAGGTCAGACTTACTACCGGCTATGCGGACCAAAATCATGCTCCTCTGGTAAAGGGACTGAATGGCCCTTAACAGAAAGCCACCCACCCCATACTCCTGGAACGTCCTCCACAGGGTGCCCCTGGGGACACGGTCATAAGCCTTCTCCAAATCCACAAAACACATGTGGATTGGTTGGGCAAACTCCCATGCCCCCTCCATCACCCTTGCAAGGGTATAGAGCTGGTCCACAGTTCCATGGCCAGGACGAAAACCATATTGCTCTTCCTCAATCTGAGATTCAACTATCGATCAGACTCTCCTCTCCAGTACCTTGGAGTAGACCCTTCCATGGAGGCTGAGGAGTGTGATCCCCCTATAGTTGGAACACACCCTCAGGTCACCCTTCTTAAAGATGAGGACCACCACCCCGGTCTGCCACTCCACAGGAACTGCCCCCGATGACCACGCAATGTTGCAGAGACGTGTCAACCACGACAGCCCTACAACATCCATAGCCTTGAGATACCCAGGACGAATCTCATCCGTCCCTGGGGCTCCACCGCTGTGTAGTTGTTTGACTACCTCAGCAACTTCTGCCCCCGAGATTGGACAGTCCATCCCCAGGGCTCCCAGCTCTGGTTCCTCCTCAGAATGCGCGTAGGTGGGATTGAGGAACTCCTCAAAGTATTCCTTCCACCGTCCCACTATAGCCCTAGTTGACGGCAGCAGCTCCCCATCCCCTTTGTAAAAAGTGTGAGCGAGTTGCTGCCTTCCTCTCCTGAGGCGCCGAATAGTTTGCCAGACCCTCTTTGGAGCTGATCGATAGTCTTTCTCCATGGCCTCACCAAATTCCTCCCACGCCCGAGATTTTGCCTCGGCAACTGCCACTGCTGCATCCCGCTCGGCTATCCGGTACCTGTCTGCTGCCTCCAGAGACCCACAGACCAGCCACGCCCTGTAGGCCTCCTTCTTCAGCCTGGCGGCTCCCCGAACCTCTGATGTCCACCAGCGGGTACGGGGGTTGCCACCACGACTGGCATCGGTCACCTAGCGACCATAGCTAGCAACAGCCGCCTCAACAAGGCCCACTCGGAGTCAATGTCCCCCACTGCTCTTGGGATGCGGTCAAAGCTCTGCCGGAGCTGGGAGTTGAAGACCGTCTTGTCAGGTTCTTCTGCCAGGCGTTCCCAGCAGACCCCCACTATGCGTTTGGGTCTGCCGGGTCTACGTGGCATCTTCCCCTGCCATCTGATCCAACTCACCACCAGGTGGTGATCAGTTGACAGCTCCGCTCCTCTCTTCACTTGGGTGTCCAAAACATATGGCCACAGGTCAGATGATACGACTACAAAGTCTATCATTGACCTGCGACCTAGGCTGCCCTGGTACCAAGTGTACCGATGGGCATCCTTATGTTCGAACATGGTGTTCGTTGTGGCCAAACTGCGGCTTGCACAGAAGTCCAATAACGAAACACCAGTCGAGTTCAGATCAGGCAGGCCGTTCCTCCCAATCACACCCCTCCACGTCATGCTGTCATTGCCCACGTGAGCATTGAAGTCCCCCAGCAGGACAATGGAGTACACTGATAGAGGACTATCTAGCACTCGTCCCAGGGACTCCAAAAAGGGTGGGTACTCTGAACTGATATTTTGCGCATAAGCACAAACAACAGTCAGGACCCGTTCCCCGACCTGAAGGCACAGGGAAGCTACCCTCTCGTCCCCCGGGGTAAACCCCAACACACAGGCAGAGAGTCTTGGGACTAACAAAAAGCCAACCCCAACCCTCTGCCTCTCACCCAGAGCAACTCCAGCAAAGGAGAGTGTCCAACCCCTCTCAAGGACTTGGGTTCCATAGCCAATGCTATGTGTCGAGGTGAGTCCATCTATATCTAGAAGGTACCGCTCAACCTCTGCCACAAGCTCCTACTCCTTCCCCGCCAGAGAGGTGACGTTCCATATCCCAAAAACCAGTTTCCTTGTCCGGGGATCGGATTGCCAAGGCTCTGTCACCCGATCCACACTGCACTGGACCCTTCATGTTCCTCCTGCGGGTGGTGGGTCCACAGTTGGATGAGCCCATGTATCCGGTTCTGGCTGGGCCCGGCCGGACCCCATGGGCGAAAGCCCAGCCACCAGGGGCTCGCTCATGGGCCCCAACCCCAGGCCTGGCTTCAGGGTGGGACCCGGTAACCCTCCAGACTGGGTACTCCGACTCTTTGATTGTAAATCCATGAAAGATCCTCTGAACCGTTCATTGTCTCACCCTTCACCTAAGACCAATTTGTCATGGGAGACCCTACCAGGGGCACAAAGTGCCCCAGACAACATAGCTCCTAGGATCATTAGGGCACTCAAACTCCTCCACCACAATAAGGTGATGGTTCAAGGAGGAGCAGTAAAACCAATAAATTAAATGTTTTGTCAAAAAAAGCAAAATGTAATCGACCCCAAAATGACCCCAAAGCATAAAATCCTACAAAAACCACATCCAATCCAGTGCTGGTTCCCTTTCTTAAAGTGACAATGTGTAGTTTTTATCATTAATCTCTGAAATATCCACTGAAATGTTACTGGCACCTTTGTACCATATAACCATAGAAACTGGGTCTAAAGTACATAGGGCATGGGTCTAGTGCAGAGCTGGGCCATCCTGGTCCTTGAGGGCTGCTATCCAGCAGGTTTTAGTTGTTTACCTGCTCCAACACACCTGCTTCCTGGATGAGTCACCTGTTAAGCAGTTCATCAGGCTCTGCAGCAGCCTGTTAATCACCAGTCCATTCAAACCAGGTGTGTTTAAGCAGAGAAACAACTAAAACCTGCTGGATAGCGGGCCTTGAGGACCAAGATTGTCCACCCCTGGCTTAGTTTCTTTGGGGACACCATATTTTCTTCTGGCCTGCTTGGTGTCCTGGACCTGTCAATGACATCCATCCATCCATCTTCTGAACCCGCTTAGTCCACGTAGGGCAGGGATGTCAAACTCAAACTCACACGGGGCCGAAATGAAACTCTGGGACGGAGTCGAGGGCCAAACTTAATATTTTTTGAAAAAGTGACGGCAAATTTGCACATTTTCTTTATCAACATATATGCGATTTTAACCTTTAAATTTGGAAACAAACTTATTTCTGCATTAACACTGAATGTGGAATAACCAAATTACACACGAGCAAGTCAGTTTTAAATAAAAGGCATCAGTGGTATTCATTACTTGTGGTATAATCAACATTTTTAAAATCTTTAAATCTTTTAAATCTTTTCTCACGGACCAACAACAAAATAAAAATATCATTTTATCTTAAATGAAAATGCAACATCTCACCTGTTATCTTTCATGTTTTGGAGCAGAAAAAGAGCATATTTAAAGCTCAGTTTGCTCCACTGGTTTACTGTGATGCTCACCTGTTCCAGCCAGATACCTGCATCATGGGGTTGATCTGAGCTGATTTTTTTCATCTTCATCATAATAATGACAACATTAGATGACAACAGGTGCTCACATAGGTTTGTGCTGATGAACATGTCTGAGCAGCTTGACCACGTTGTTGTGTGTCGGGGAGGAAACACAACCACAGAGTTGTGCTGGTTTGAGCGTGTCGCTGCTCGCTGGAGTTATATCAGCTCTGTCTGGAAGTTAGTCGGAAAACTTTCTCTTTCAGTCGTGAACACATTACTGAGCGGCTAGAATCTCCGTTTCTGGGCTTCAACGTCAGAAAATAGCTGAGTGAACTCGGCGCTGAGTGAGAGGAGTGTAGTTTGTCCGAGACAGCGGAGCTGCAGACACCGGCAGCAGGCGCTGGAAAAAACACAAAGGAGGGGGCGCGTCGGCTCTGCGCTGACGCCGCAAAGCATCATGGGAGTTGAAGTCTTTGCGGTAAAATCGGCCAGAGGGCCAGTTTTAATATATTTTTGATATTTATCTTGCGGGCCACAAAAAAATGCTCTGCGGGCTGCATCTGGCCCGCGGGCCTTGAGTGTGACATATGTGACGTAGGGTCACGGGGGGCTGGTGCCTATCTCCAGCAGTCAACGGGCAATTAGGCGGGCTACACCCTGGACAGAGATCCAGTCCATCGCAGGGCAACAGATTATTGGCTGAGTCCACACATAGCCAAAAAGAAAATGTCTCAAGGGAAAAGCTGAAAAGGCTATAGCCACGAGGTTCTGGACAGACTTAATGCTCTTTTATGTTCTGGATGAACCTGTGACCCGCTGCCACACGGACTGGAACAACAAATGCTCCCGCAGTGACGTGAGTTGCGGTGAGGTTCATGACGAGGCACTGAGCAGACGTCTTACATAATCCAGAATATAAGTTAATATTTTAATTTAACCTTGAATGAAACTTGTTGTTATAAAACATCTTATATGCTTTAACCAGGGAGGAGGCAGCACTAATCTCTGCCTTCTTTATGAGGGTGTAGCCCTGGAGTTGGTGCAGCATGTGCTCTGAATCAGTGTGAGTATGCGGCAAAACTCCATGAGAGCGAAGGCCACTCTGTCACTGCCTGCCATTATTGGCGCTATTTCAACCAAAGTTGTAAAATCACTCACTCCCACAAGTGCTCATGTGCACCCGTAGGTCTACTGGAATGGGTCTGTGACCTATGACAGATGCACTCTGAACTCCAGCTCTTCAGTGCGCTGTTAATAAAGTGACGCATCGAGAATGCTATTGTGCTAATATAATAATGCTATAATGCTCCGATGGGAATCTTTTCTTGATTGATTAACCTCCATGACATTCTCTGTTTACAATGTCTGCACACCTGCATGAGACAGGCAAACTTTTTTTATGGCAGGTCTTAAAGCGGTAAGAATTTTTGAACCAGGCTGTAAACATGCTTATTTCTGCTGTGAAAGTGGTATTTTTAACATGGGAGTCAATGAGGATTTGCTCTCTCCTGGTGCCAGCCCCTACAGGATGAGGGTGGAGCTGCAATTTTAGCCACTTTCGTGTTGGCTTCCAAGACGGCAGACCAAAATGGCTCCTTGCTAAAGACAACTCATTTAAGGAGATGGTAAATCATAAGTAAAATAAAGAAACAGGATAAACTAGATGTTAGGCACACACTCTCTGTCTCACTCCCTCTCACACACGCACGCACGCACGCACACAATTTAAGGAGCAAAACATGTAAAAGTCTAAATGTAAACATGGCAATAAGACTAATATGAACCATAAACTGAAATATAAAGTAAACATAACAGAAATGTAAACAGTCACATGTTGAGGTATCAGGAATAACTAGTTAAATGGCTCAGGGGGTACACAAGTAAAAAAAAGGTTGGGAAATAGGGTTGGTTAGCCGTTACGGTTGTTTTCACAAGAGGCAATTTGTTTATTTGTTTGCCCACGAGTTAGTTTGTTAACAACAAATATTGATTATTTAGTATTTAGAAAATGAAAGTGATGGGGATAAATGGATCATGCGGCCTCTGGCAGCGAGCAAATGCTCCCTCCTCAGAGTGTGTCTAAATGCAGCAGCGATTCATTTAACTTCCTAATAAACTCACAAAATAAAGAAACCCAGTAGTCCATGCTCAGAAGAAAAACATTTTGCTTAAATAAAATATCACGATGGTGGGCACCACAGGGAAGCAAGGACGAGGCTTCTTTCATACACTTTAACCCTGTTTAATGCGAGCTGTTCATACATCACTCTACCAGACAAATACAAAATTAAACAAAAAGAAAAATCTAAATTTCTCTTCCAGCAAACATATGCGCTGCGCTTGTATAAAAAAAATCAATGTTTTGGGCTTCTTCTGTGTTCGCAAATCAGGCCGTGCGTCATGATGTCACAAGCACAAATTTATTGGCCATCGTCTTTTTTCAGAGTGACGATTAGCGGTGGGAAGGAATATGCAAATCGCCCAACTGGGAAACGCTTACCTAGACAATGCTGAAAGTATTCCATTCAGTCCAACAGATAACTCAATGATTCTGTTTGTGTGTGTGTGTGCGTGCGTGCATGTGTGTGTGTGTGTGTGTGTGTGTGTTGGAGGGGATGTGTGTCCGACTAGTGAGTCGGGAAACAGATGTTTCTCCTGAAACCCAGAACAGGAGCATGGGCTAGATGAAAGGTTTGTGTGTTTAATTTCCTAACGGCATCAAGGAGATTTTCTCTGACACCGGCTCATTGATATTTGATTCACGTTTACCCTCTTTTTGAATATTGATTCTGGAGCTGGAGGAGTGAGTCATACTAGGTCAGATAGTCCGGAGTCATTCCAGGAGGAGAGCCAAGGCTGATGGAAGTTGTGCCAACAGTTGCATCCACGGTGATGATGCTCATAGACCTCGGTCAGTTTATCTTTGTTTTCGTTCACGATTTTTCAAACAGGTTCAAATTAAATCAACTGGACTTCTTTTGTATTTGAAGATGTTTCACTTCTAATCCGAGGAGCTTTGTCAGGTCTGACTGGAATATGGGAGAGTTAAGCTTATAAGCTGTAGCTGTCTACTGTTGCTGAACGAGCAGAAACTACTCTGAGCACCCCTCCCCTCTACCCCCTTATGAGTCGTTGGCCTCTATTGAGAGTGAGATGTTGATGATTAGATGCAGGAGGGTGTTGATTAAGCCTGAGGCACACAGATGACAGATGCACTGCACCACGTCACGCCGGCGCAGCCATTTAAAAAAAAATCCATTATAGTCACTAAGAGTGGCTACACGGGGAGCGTAGACTGAAACTGCTTAGGAGTGAGATCTCTGTTGCACTGTTAATAAAAAACAGAAAATCTCAAATAGATACCCCAAAAATGTAATAAACTGGTACTGTAAAAGAGTAAACACTACAGGCCTTCCATTTCGTATACCACAGCCTGTATTTTGTTGTGGTGGGTTGTGTTCTGGTGACAAGCAAAGCTTTGGAGTGCAGGATGCTGAGCCTGACATGTGGTTGGTGAAGGACTTTTGATCTCCATGCTGCTTTGTTTGGGTCACTCATGTGCGTGTGGTGTTACGACCCTTCTTGGGGGGTTTGGCTCGTGTGTACAAAGAAAGACCCAATAATTTAAAATGATGATCAGGTTTATTTACAAAGCAAATTTAAATACATCAATAATAAAATAACTAAAGATGTCCCACTAAAATCGAACAAAAACTACCAGGTTCTTAAAGACTAAAATTAGGATCTCAAAAAGGTACAAACTCAAAACTGGGTGGTTTAACCAAACTCAAGGTGATATTTTAAACAAAACAAAAACCCACAGCACTCTCAAGGTAACCAAAAGGGAGATCTACTCCACACAAAAGATCAACTCTAAACCAAAACGTAACCGCATATCCAAACACAAGAAGATGTTAGCAAATATGCTAACTCTAGCTTTACCAACATTAAGCTCAAGTTGGCAAGTTTAAACAAACCATAAAGACCCAGCAAACGGACCAGTGGGGGAGGAGAGACTTCTACAACAAAAGCAGCTCTCCACGAATCTCTGAAAGAAGCTCCCTTATGAAGGGAGAAACGCTAATCCCAGTGATTACCTTGTTGTCTGTTGCCGGGCGATGGAGGCGGGCCAAACGAAAGGGAATCTGGTAGCAGATAGGGATGTGTATTGGTGAAAATCTGGCAATACGATATGTATCACGATACAGGGGAGACGATACAGTGTATCATGGTATAATGATACGTTCAGTCAGACGTTATTAACGATGTATTTTTCACTGAATTAATTGTAGAAATATTCAATAAACAGTTCAAACTGATACTTAACACGTTTAACATGAGGTATCTGATTTACATTTCAATGGTGGAAACAAAACCCACTGCACACGGCTACCAACTAGCAGTCGGCGTTTGAATTGCGCCGAAACAAAAGAAAATACACAAATGTTTTCATGTAAATTCTATTAGATAAATGGCTTTTAAATATTGATGTAATATGGCAGGAAAAAACATCAGAATATATTGCCATATCAATATTTCCTTACATCCCTAGTAGCAGACATTGTTCTGGGTCTTCGGCATTTGGCGGAGGTGGAGGTGGAGAAGAAGGCGAACTAGAAGGAAAGCAGGCAGAATCCTCTATTCATGGACCCCTGGGGACCCAGCGTGATGCGTTGACTATTGGATTTGATGTTGACAGTTTTTTTTTAATTCAGTCATCGACGTCCCTGACCCATCACTACAGCACTAGTGTGTGTGTGTGATATCTACTGCCGGATTTTGTACTAAGAAAATTAAATATCCTTGTTCGTTTCTGTGCTGATGATTGTTATCGTGTGTCGTTCCACAGATGTGGAATGACCTACCAAGTATGACCAGAACAGTCGATTTTCAAGAAACTCCTGAAGACCCAGCTCTTCAAAGAGCATCTTCTAAACTAGGACCCTCCCAGCACCCATCCCCCACTCTACCGCACACTCCATGTTGGCTTCCCTCTGTGGTTGATTCTGCTGCCTCACTGCCACCTAGGATTGACTGAATAGTGTTTGTTGTTAGCCTCAAGGGCAACCTGCTAGCTTGATTATCACCTGTAAGTCGCTTTGGACAAAAGCGTCTGCTAAATACATAAACATAAAGACGATTGACAGCTTTACCTTCCGATTCAACAAGGGCCAGAGTGGCGTGAGACATGATCCGACGAAATGAACGGTTACGCACCAGCGACTGAAGAAGTACAAAGAAAAACTTTTTTTTGTGAAAAGAAATTTTGAGGAAAGATGGTTTCATGAAGAGGTGGAGGAGAATGGAGTACATGTTACAAAGTCTCTGAAATAAAGAAACAAAATGTAAATAGAAAATAGTAAAACCACTATTAGGGACCAGAGACATAATTGCAATGGTGGCAGAACCCCTCACAAAAGCTCTACGCCCCTGTTGTCCTGGTGGGGAATTGCTTTGCAACACTTCTCAGGTGATGGAGAAGCCAGAAATACAACGATGGGTGTGAAAAACTGCACCCGAGCCACCGGAGACGTTTAAATAGGCTTAACTCTGGTGTCAGCTGAGCAGAACCGGAGTTTGAGGGACACTGAGTGAGAGACAGGGATCAGGAAGTGAACCCTGTGGTGAAGCAGCAGGTCACCCCTTAACGACCTTATCACTCCGATTAAGTGTGTGTGTGTGTGTGTGTGTGTGTGTGTGTGTGTGTGTGTGAGCACTGTATTATTGGTGGCAGCTTCAGGGTTTTGGGTTTGAGTGTTTGAGAGTGTGCCGAATATGTTTGTGAAGCAGGTGGGATTCACTTGCTGGGTGGGATGGTTTTGGAGGACCACTTACTCCTGTTCCGTCTGACAGATAACTCTGGAGTGTGGCGCAGACAGCTGGATGTTGAACTTCCTTTTCTCTGCCTTCTGCTGCTGGGATTTGTAGTTTTTAGTTGTCTGAGCTGATGGGGGAGGAGGCTGCTCTGCTCAGTCCCAGTCTGTAAGTACGAAGCTACACATAATGAAACGGGTTATGTCTACTGGTTACACAATGTCCAACCAGTTTGTGGTGTGAATGGTGTCTGTGAGAGGGCTGAGCTCAGGTGGAAGTGTTAGGTTTGTGCCTGGGGATGCAGAGACACGGTTGTCCAGTCCATGTCTGTAAAATTTATATTTGTGGTTGAGAATCACTTGTGATTCTTTTTCTCACTGTGATTTTACCAGTTTAATTCTTATTGTCTTTAGTTTTCTCAGTCATCTGCTCTTTTGTTTTAGCATACCACACCATTTCCAATTTTCAATTCAAGTTTATTTGTAAAGCGCCAAATCACGACAAGAGTCGTCTCAAGGCACTTCACATAGTAAACACTCCAATACAGGTCAGGTCATTAAGCCAATCAGTAAAAAGTTTCCTATAAAAGGAACCCAGCAGGTTGCATCAAGTCACTGACTAGTGTCAGAGTCTTTACATACTAAGCAAGCATGCAGCGACAGTGGAGAGGAAAACTTCCTTTTAACAGGAAGAAACCTCCAGAGGATCCTGGCTCAGTATAAGCAGCCATCCTCCACGACTCACTGGGGATGGAGAAGACAGAGCAGACACACACACACACACACACACACACGCACACACACAACATATATACCAAGTAGTGTTTCTATGAGGGGTCTCACATCCCACATAAGAATGGAACCTTCGCAATTAGGCAAATTTTTTTCCACCTCCATTTTACTGCCCTACACAGCCTTCTAAAGCCTGGTTTATGCTTCTCCGTCAGCTCCGCAAGGGACAGACACGCACTGATTGACGGAGGCGTTTAGCTCTCTTACTTCTCCGTCTCCTGGAGAGTGTTGCAAAGCAATTCCCCGGCAGGACAACAGAGGGCGTAGCGCTGTTCTGTGGTATCCTGTCATGTATCGGTCGAAGATCGTGTGTTTATATTGTGTTTTTTGTGTATATAAGAGACTTTTAACACTGACATATTTGTCTCTCATTCTCCCACCTCTTCATGCGCTCCCCACCTCTGAACCCACGTTTCCTGTCATTTCCATCCACCAATAAAACGCTTGCTATGCATCTTTTCACTCCTCCAGTCACGGGAGAATTAAACGTTCATATTTTTAGAGTTTTTTTCGCGAGGTATTCTTCAAGCTTCTCCGTGTCTGCCGCTAGTTATCCTCAGCTCTCTTTGCAATGGCGGCGCTGTAAACAACAGCGGCGTCCTGACCAATCACAAGCTTGCGTAATCCGTCTCGTTCGTTGGATGTTTAAAAAAGTGGGCTAGACTCCGTACGTACTTGCTTGCCTGCCGGAGCCCTACGCAAGGACGGATAATGGCGTTGCGTGTCTCCGCACTGACGCAGACTGAGAAGCATAAATCAGGCTTAAGGCAGCAGGTTTCGTCATTTTGCCAGGGGTCCGAGGTGGTCTTCTTACATCTACATCCAGGAGGGGCTACAGATTCCAGGGTAGCTTGACAGATGCTATTAAATTGATAGACGAGTTCATCCACATCCCCCAAGGAACAGGAGGTGGAGGGAGTTACCATCTCGAACAGACAACAATTGAGCGGCTGTATTAGAAGAGATGTATTTGAAAAAACAAGGGGCTGCTTCTTAACGGATGGCAGCAGACCAGAGATGTTGAACACAATTGAAGAATGGTCAGAGAAACAAACCCACAGGGTCAACAGTTAGATCATGCACATTTGTCTCCCCTTTAAACATACTGCTGTATTTTGGTGGCCTGTACCAGAGAATAAATAAGATAGAAGGGACAAAACCAAGTTCAAACAAGGATACTTCTAAGCTGGCAAGGGAGGGGTTTCAATGAAAGAGAGGAGCGATAAATCGTCAACAATCCCCCCCATCCCTACCAGCCCGATGTCCGAGGTTCATTCAGAATGAGCTAGTCCTACAGACGGAGTTCAACCAACAAAGCTGACTCACCTGGTGGAAGCCTACGACTCAGTCCTGGAGAACAGGCTTACGTCTTTGTCCAGAAAGAAATTCTTTAGAAGAGCCGTTTTATTTCCAATAGAGCAGGCATTCAGTGATCCAAGCATGATGCAGACATCCGAGTGGACAACTGACAGGTTGAGTCTCACAAGACGGCGCTGGTTAGATGAGATTCTGCTTATCAACCCTGCCTGCTCGGTGCCACTGATGGAATTTCCTGCTAACAGAAGCTACTCTGTGGCGATGTAGAACCTGGATGTCCGATCACAAAGCTGCAAATCCTCCGGATGACAGCAGGTAACATCCTCCGTGGGGGACATCCTAAATGCATGGCAGTTGAACGAGAATGCCTCCACACTTGCCGCAAAGGCCTTTACTAGTGAGGACAAAAGTCTGGACTTCATGGAACAGGTGCCTGAAGTTACACAGTCGTGGGACAGGAAACAGCCAAATAATGACTCAGCACAAGTGAGGCTAGTACACAAAACAGGAGCAGTGGGAGCAGGCCACAACAGTCGGCACCATCTTTAATCGCATTTGTGTTTACTGTAAATATGCAAAAGCATCTAGCAGCAACCAGACTTTGGAACCTGATAAACTAGTTCCGGATCAGCAGTTCTACAGATTTTCAGAAAGTCAGGAGGAGGTTTCAGTCCACTCGGACCTAATTTTACAGTTCTTTTTATTTCAGTCCCCTTTGACAGAGTGAGACTCTGCATTAAAATGGGGACAGAAGAAGCTTAGGAGGTAGAGTGGGTTGTCCAGTAATCGGAAGGTTGTGGGTCCCGGCTCTCGCCAGAGAATGCCGCTGTTGTGTCCTTGGGCAACACACTTAACCCGCCTTGCCTGCTGGTGGTGCTCGGAGGAACCAGTGGCACCTGTGTTCAGCAGGCCTTGCCCCTGTCAGCGCACCCCAGGGCAGCTTCCCCACCAGCATCTGAATGCATGTGTGAATGGGTGAATCACTGGTTGTGTTGTGAAGCAACCCTGAGAAGGCGCCATACAAATACAGGCCATTTACCATTTAAAATCATGCCTAATTGGTGTATCATTCAATCTTTCTATATTCAGTTGAAATTAAAATCAAATATCGTTCTTTTTCCATTTTGTATTTTTGATTTGTGCCTAAAATTGAAAATATAAAAAGCAAAAAACTTGTTTTGTATTGATAAAATAAATAAATAAATAAAACCACAATCACTTTTTATTTTTTTGATTTGTAGTTTTGAATTGAATATAGAAAGAATAAATGATACATGAATTATGCCTGGCCCCCTTTTTAACACACTTCACCACACAAAATATCAGTGAGCCACAAGGCAGCTGTGGCTAGAACGTAGCTCATCACCATCAGTGTGTGAATGAGTGAATGACTGGTGTGTTGTAAATCACCTTGGGGGACTATATAAAGAAAGCTCTATATAAATACAGACCATTTCCCATCACACATACAACAAAAACAAAAATCATTGTTTGTTTAGCTTCAGTTTAGCTTCAGCTTCTGTATGTTGTACTTTGAATTAGAAATGTGTGATTTAAACGGTACAGGTGGCCAAACAGCATCTGGCTGCTACTGCCACTTACAAAGACAAGAGGTGTAGCGTGGGAGAGGCCTTGTAATGTCAGAGGTCACCAGACACTGACCTTTCCAGCCATACCAAAACAAGGCCTCTACTTACCCTTTGTGACCTCGCCATCTGGGAATCTGTCATAACAACGCTGTTTTCTGCCCTGTTTATGTGTGATTGCAAGAAGATGAGACTTTTCTCTTAACTTTAAAGAACAAGTCACCCCCTACCAGATTCTTACTCAACTCCCACTTCCTGTTTGAAAGATGCAACAAATGCTGCTGCCTAGCAGACTGAGAGGGTGGAGCCGCTAACAGATACACACACTCACGACATTGTGACATCATAATGTACCATCTAACATCATAGTGTACCTCTTAGTCAATAGCGACGGCAGATTTAAATTCAAATGCGGTGCTGAGTTTTTACCTGACGATGGTGTAACACTGACAGTTTTAGGCAGAATATTTAAATTTTAACTAAGATGCACTAATGTGCCGAATGATTGACTACACGTGTCTGCAGCATGATCAGACACTCATTTGTATAGTTTATCAGCAAAAAAAATGTTGATTTGGAGTGACTTGCTCTTTAATAAAAGAATCTCATTTGGTCTTATACAGTGATTTTTCTCACTTTACAGGTTAATTACAATTGCTTAGATAAATGAATGTTTTTGTCATGACTCCCAATCCTTCACCCTCCTCTGCCTCCTCATTTAGCCTTCTACCTTCATTCAGCTGACCTGGTCCCCTCACCAAGCTCCTGACAAGCCCTGTTTCCCCTGGCAACCACTATCAACTCCATTCATCTCACCTGTTCCTGTCATCAGCTTCATCTACTTCACTTGCTCCTGACTCCTCAGCTTATCACTCACACCTGTTTCCCCTGCTACAAAAGAACCAGCCATCCAGTAATTCAGTGCCAGATTATTGAAAGCTTCTTGCAAGTAAATCTTCCAGCCACCCACCCTGCCTGATCTCTGACTCCGGACCTCGTTTGTCGCCTGACCCCTCCCTGCCTTGTACTCTGCCTGCCATCACGACCCTCGCCTGTCCTCCACCTCATCTCCAGTCTGTTCCCTGTATCTACTTGTCTGATCTGATTTTGACCCCCGCCTCCTCTCCGACTCTGTCTCCAGCCTCGTCATCCTCTGGTAACTCTGCATCAAATAAAGACTTGTAAAGGTGCTTTTCAGTGTTTGATGTCCTTACGGGTCCTTCTAGTTCAGTTCATTACCTAAAGTGATTTAATAATGTCTTGATTACTTGACAGTGATGAATGAATCAACATAAATGTTTATTCTTGAAATGCCTTGTTTGAGATCTTAAATACACCAAATGAGTCTACTTGATGATTTAATAATGATTATCAGTTATGTCACATTAATGCCAGTATAATGATGAATGACTGTTATATTTACTTCACATATTACGTGAAATAAGCCTTTTCTAAGTATCTGAGAAAAAAGTTG